AAAAAAAAAAAAAAAAAAAAAAAAAAAAAAAAAATGAAAGCCGTACCGCCTTCAATCTTGCCTGGCGGCAAGGTCGAATCGAATGACAAATAAGCGCTCTTGTAAATAAAAAATTCAGACAGATGGCATACATATACTAAATATTTAGACCATACATAGAACAAACGAGTACCGAGTTCGTTACGAGAAATAATCATCTGATTGGCTAGAGCATCACTTCCCAACCGAGCCTTAAAAGTTGTAAGAAGTTAGCTGAAAATTAACATTAGTGGAGAAAATACAACACCATCTAATGTATAAACTCACAAGCTAGTAGCCAGTGAACGAGTTATTTGCTAGCTAATCCTACTGACTTACCAAACAGCTTCGTCAAAGTAGATATTTAAGTCAAATTAATGAGAGAATGATAAAGCAAACCGCTGGACACTGGGTCGTTTTGAACAAAAAACTTACAGTTTTCAAATCAGTTGAAAATAATGGTTTGCCATTCAAATCATCAAGCAAATGAGCCCCCAAATAGTCTATTATTTTTTGGAATACCGAAGGTGGAGTACTGTTACTGTCACAAGCTAAAAAAAGTAACTCCAAGTATAAACTGAACTAAAATTATGTGCTTCAATGAGAACAGAAAGGCTTATCGGGGTTATCCAAAAAATTCTTTTCGAACATCAAATTCTCTAGAAATGGTTGAATGGTGAATGACATCAAATAAACACGATGTGATTACAGTTACCTGCCAGACAAAGAGACAATCCAGAAAGAAAATTTGTCGGAAAATGATGGAACAAAGCATGTATAAAATGGTCAAAGCAGAGCGTATAAAGCTGCAGGTCATCATCATTAATAGATATTAAGTTCTCAAATGCAAAAGGCATAAGTTCCGAAAACTGTTGAGGAGGAAGCCTAAACACATTTTGTTTAGGAAAAGCACGGCTCCAGAATATACTGTGAAATAAATTACATTAATAAATTTCAAAATACCTTTCGCCAGCATTTTTTATATCCAGACGAGAAAGAAGAGTCATTGCTAATGCCGAAGTCGTTGGAACTCGAACTGCGTGACTAAGTGTCTTATATATCACCACTAATTCAGATGGGGTTACATATTCCGGAGTAAAAAAAGGGGCTATAAGATGGATCATTTGGCTACAGTTTAAAGCAACATTCATAAGCCGAGTCTGCTCTGACGAATTTCTAGCAATAAAAGCCTGAAATTTTTTGAAAAATTCAGTTTTTTAAGAACCGAATTTTAGCACTTACTCGAAACAAAACCATACCGTAAAATCAAAAAAAATTTATTTGAAAAAGAAAAAGAAATATAAAACGAAAACATACTTCGCCGAGACTTTTTAAAACGTTAGCGAAAGTATAAGCAGATGCATCGAAAAGCATTTCTACTGAGGACACAGTCTCAAGTAAATGGTAAAAAAGACAGCGTCCCAACTCTTTCACTCGGTTCTTTACAACACTAGTATCAGCTTCAAAACTAGCCAAAGTTCTGAAAAAAAATTAGACTTGAGATACCCACTTCTGACGTCCGTTTTCGTTTAAAAAGCAAATCTGCTTTAGCAGACATAAGTCCGAAAGATTCCGTCCGCAAGTAAATAAATACTGAGGTAAAAAATGTCATACACTGCTATGTACTCCAGATGGGCACAAGACAAGGCAGAAGAGTCGAGTAACTGAACGTTTGTATTTGCCACTACATTTGACCGCTCCTGCCTGTTACTGTTCATAACAGATTCTATGTTTGTCTGAAACACAGTTAAATATATAGAAATCTCCGTATACCATTAAATTAAAAAACGTAACTGTGAAACCGTTGTAAAAGACAGGCGGCCTCAAGATCTAGCCATAAATACTGCTATGAAGAACTATAACAAGTTCCAAACAAAGTAAAAAAAAAGAAAATTCAAATCGTAAATTACCTGAAACTGGCTTACTGAACAGGAAACTGTTACGGTTACAGGTTGAGAACATCTGGTGGCAAATGTACCCCCACACTTCAAGACAACTGGCAACGAAACTGTTGAATCTTTGTATAACTGCGGAAATTTTGATACATAATCAGAATCAATTTCGTCAACTTGGTCTTTAAACGATATGTAATTTCTGAATAATGCGCATTAAATCATTTGCAGGTAACAACTATGCAAATAACTAATTTTCAGTGTGGACCTGTTGCGTAACCCACCCGTGCACCCGGACGCAAAAAATTGCAAAAATATGTAGTAAAATAAAAACAAAGAAACTGCCTTCGATATCCTGCTAGATTTAACAACAAAATATATATCAAAAAAGCGCATTACTAGAAAACTAAAACACGATGCAGATATCTTATTAATAACTATTTCATTCAAATTCTTCACCTTCAGACTGAACTGACACACATTTTCGCAGTGCTGTTTATATTAGGTTGTTAAAAAAATTCTTGCGAATATTTGAGTGTCTTAGTTTGGCAAACAAGAAAGCATCTAGCTCAAATGTTGCTGCTGTAATATAAACCTTTGAAAGAACGTTTTCCGAACTTCTCTACCATGAATCTTTCATTTGACTTTTTCTTTTCAACCTACATCCAGCCCCACTGTACCTAGAAAAATAAACAAAACGGACAGCTAGAACCACAAGGCGCAGGATGTAAGTATGTCGGACTGAATGACATATGAAATTCTACTATATTTCCTTTCTCTCCCGACTTGTCTCCAACTGATTAGGAGCTTTATAAACATTTGAATCGATTTATTCACAGCAAAACGTCCTAAATTAGATAATTCATAAGATGCCTATGCTATTTTTTCCCATTTAGATCTGCCGACTTTTGCAGTGATTAGTATTTCAAAGCTTCGTGGTGACCCCAAAATCGCGTAGGCAATCATGCTTACCTCGGTTGATAAAGTCAACTTAAAAAAATAAAGTACGGCTGCTCAAAGTTTATAACGCAAATCCGCAAAAACTTTCCTAACACCCTTATACTCAATATAGCCGCTGTAATATATTACATACGAAGAGTTCACAGAAGGCTAAGTAGTAAGCGAATAAATAACCAATAATGGGGAAATCATAGGAACAGACACTCTGAATATTATAACTGTGTGAAACGCAGATGTACTGGAACTTTTAACTTTATCATTAACAAGGAACAAACCCTTAAGCAATATTAAAGCTTCGAATGATGTCGTGTCAAAAGTGAATAATCAAAAATTAAGATATCTAATAGGAGGTTGAATTAGGTTTCCTCGTACTCAACCTTCTTTACTTACCCTCGAAAATAACTGCTCAAAAGTGAAACAAGAAGAATTACCTGGCTAAAGCGCATATATTTTGCAGTTGTTGCCGAAATATTTTGACGCAAAGCTCATTATTATCATTTCCCAAATTAATAGGTATTCTCCTTGAAAGTGACGTGTGAAATGGTATAGCCGGAAACTGAGCAGTTTGGTCGGTCGTGTTTAAAGACGACAGATATTCATACAAAGTCAGTTTACTAGACGGTTGTCTGGTTGGACAGTTTACCACACCCAAATGACGTACAGCTGCATAAAGCTAAAGAAAGACACCATTTAAGAGTTGTAATGAAGGAGTAACTAAACTTTACAACTTCTTCGTCAAAGAGATACTCCGCTGCTACCAAAACGCTAGGTTCGAAACCCACACAGATTAAAATATAATAGATCAAACAAAATAATAGTAGCAACAACAACGAGGTAGAAACGAAGTGCTTCAAACCTTCTGGCCAGCAGCCTGCCTCGAACAAATACTTTCCAAATCAACAAACTGTATCCAAGATTGCTACAACGAACTAATTTTAGTGTAAAAAACTCATTTGGTTCAGAAAACAATTTTCAGCTATTTTACAAAATTCACCGTATCTCCAGCAACCAGAAGTTGGATAAGATGATCAGAAAGCAGTCCTTCAAAAGCTGAAAACTTTGAGTCACGTAAGGCAACAGTTGTTAGCCACTGACCAAGTGCCTTAAAAATGAACAGTAACGGAATAACACTTCAAATACAATTTAAAAACTACACAAGTACAGAACTTTAGTTATCTAAAACTTTTAGAAAGAAAAATCAAACCTTATAAAAACAACCAGCCTCACTATTGGTCTTAGCTACCGATACTTCCACACGAGGTAAGACTTCTTTATGAAACTTCGTGAACAATGGTGAAGTGGACAAGAAACCAAAATACTGATTTGCGAAACAAACGCCAGAACTAAAGAGAACAAATACGAATCTCACAAAACTTGAAAAAAATTCTTCGGTAAAAAATAAAAAAATCTCTTTTTTGACTAAATATAGTAAGACGCCTTCAAAAAAATACTACGCAAAAGTGAAGTAAAAAAAATTTGGTCACTTTGAATGCTTCCTGGAAAAAAGAATGCGAGCAAAGTTCTGACAAACGAGAGGGAAACAAGGGTGTTTTTCAACTTCTTCAGCACATGCCAACTCCAACCAACGGAAGAAATGTAAACGTTCAATTTGCAGTGGAATATGAGATTTAGATGACGCCTTCTGTAAATACAGTTTCGAAATAATTTGAGAAATAATCAACGTGGCTCAAACGCCGCAGTTTTTCAACTAAAGTTATTTTAAGAAGATAAGGGAACCTTCACACACTGTTCTAATGAATATTCCGGATGTTTTGCTAAAGATGCATACAACGTATCATAGAAAACACGAAAACTCCTTTCTTCCACAAGTAATAAAACATATGATGCCCACGGGACAAGACCGAAACTAGCTGAAGATATTGCAGGAGGAGGACAACCATCACTAGTCAACCATGAGAAAATTCCTTTCGAATTTTTTTTCCATTGCTAAACAAGTTATATAAAAAGCAAATTTCATTCCTTTCTATGAAAGAAATTGTCGCATTCCTTCAAACCTCTAAAGTTGTCAAATACAACTTCTGCAGCAAGTCGATAAGCCCCAGCATATTGTTCTGATCTTTCGAAAAGCAATATTCGCATAAGAAGCCAAAAAGGTAAAGAACAGGCCTATCACTCGTCCATTTATGAAGTTTTTTATAACATAACAGATTTACCCACGCCTCCATTACACCGTTGGAAAAGTTAACATTAAAGCAGTGCTAAAATCAAGTGTGAAAGCAAACAGGGACTATTTTGTATAAAAATAACATCTTAAAGAATTTTTCAACCAAACAGAAGTGCACTTAAAAGAAAAGCTTACAGCCATTGCACCTTCAAACAATCTGATTGTTGGACCTGGAAACTGGTCAGACCCAGCAAAAAGCTGCACAGCATATGAAGACTGGTCACAGTGCAAAAGACGATCAAGATCTTGAACGAAGCTGAAAAACTTAGTGATAAACTGCATCAGTAACCGAAACCCTTTTTCACATAGCATTTCTCTTCCAGTGTTCATTTTTAACCTGTTTGACAATTCTGAAAGAAAAAAACTAGTATTCGAACGAAAACCTCTCATACCTTTCTTTTGAAAGCAGCTTTGTGACATCGGTGTTTTCTGCTAAACAGCGAACAAGAATGACAGTTGACGCACTATAACAGCCAGCGGCCACTAGGTCTGACCAAAGTGGAAGCCCCTTAGAAATGAAATCGTCCAAACTAAAAACCTATGACAATACAAAGTTGTAAATTACGCATCTGCTGAAATAAAAGACGTATCAAGCGCCTAATAAAAATTGGCAATCCTCAAATATATATAAAATACAGGTCGTCCCAGCTTATAAAACCGAGTGAGATTTAAAGCCTAGTAGACGTTATAAAACAAACCTAGAAAAATAAGATTGTGTAATGTAAACGTAATACGCGGTGAGATCAGTGAATGGAGCTGTTAAACCACGCTGAAAATCACACATTAAGCTCAGAAGAATGAAACAAGATTCAGAAAAAAGAATACTAACAAATCTAGCTAAATGATTAGGAAAAATGCAACAAGAATTTGAAATTTTTAAACAACACCAGTCACGAGCTAAAATAAAAACTTTCGAAACCAAACTGAAAATGTTTCAAATTTCCTTTCTCAAATCTTGACAGATAAGACAACAATACAGTAAACTGGAAGATCGGTAGACAAAAAATGAAACTGAAAAAAGGTCTAGATAATTAAGTCCTCAATTTAAATTCTATTATAAAAATAGAAGACTATTTAGTTAAAATCTGCCCCTTGCAAAACTAGTTATTATCATTGTCAAACTCCTAATTATTGAACTTTCGGGAAAAGAAAAAAGCGAAAAACGGCCTACTTTAATTGGCAGTTTCAACCTTAATAATACATCCCAACAAAATTCTTCGAACTGGTATTCGTAATCAGGAACTTTAGAAGCCATCTTTGCGATCTTATGGAAGGACTCCGCAATAAAACCATTAGTGTTTTTACATTGAGCCATATGACCCTTAACGACGGTTTCAGCACACACCGCATGTACATTTTCAGGAAGCCATAATCTATCATCAAACGTTAGCCCCCAATTCACTGAGGTTAACACGCGCCTGAAACTACGATTTTATAAAGCTTACAAAGCCTAATAGAGCATAAAATTAACAAATTTAGTGCATTATTTGTTGCTGCCAACGAACAAAAGTTCGAAAAGCTTTATTCAACCTGTGAAGAAACTACCTCGCAATACGCGATGCTGCATGGCCTGGATGGTTTTTTATGAGCCATTTCCCACAGACGCTTCCTATATCAGTTTCAGTGACTATACACTTCGACAGTGGCGCAGTGTTCAAAACTTCAACAGCGTACTGAAATGGTCAACAAATACATCAGAAAATTTAATTAGCAAATGAAGAGTTTACTTTAAAACTTCAAGAAAACCTAACCTGGTCAAGACTATCCATATTCCGATCAATTAAACACAGTATGCGGCTGAGTAAGTCTGGATGGCTACCCAGCAAAATACTTATAGCCTCTCCCCCAACTTTGTAAAAGTTTTCACGAGTAGTTTCATCAATAAAGCATAGCTAAAAAAATATGTGATGAAACGAAAAGGTTGGACTTCCGAGCGCCAACAATAAATGAAAAATACAGTGTAGAATCGTTACTTTCTTGATGAGAAAGACTCCTCTCAAAGCCCAAGCACAGCATTATGTAAAAGAAAAAGAAAATTAAATATTAAAAAAACTCTTACATTAAAAACCTCAGTCAAAAAGCCATCAATTCCCGACTCCGATGCTGAAATTACAGAAGCCAAGGCAACTACCATATAATTGCTGTCATCTTTAGATAAGCATGAAAGACGATCCACCAACTTATCAGCTGAAAATTTCATACAGCTAAGTTTAGTATGAAGCGGACTGTAATAATGCACCTGACAGACGACCTACCGCGTTCCAGATGCTGCGACAAATCGTTATCAGCTATTTCGTAGAGTTGCGAAGGGCTTAAAAGATCCTTATTTCTTAGCAGAAGCTGGCAACGATAACGACAAGTTTCACTTACAACAGAATACGGTAGGTCAATTAAGAACTGCCATAAACCGAGACTAAAAATGCTCAAGTTAGCTTTGTCAGTACTGAATCCTAATAACATAACAGCGTGAACAATCTTTTTAAATTTCTGAAGGACTCATCTATTAACCACCTTCTTTTTCCGACTACATAATACAGCGCCTGCAAAACAATTCGGTCGAACTCATTCTGAACAGTACGTTGACTGACTGGATCTAAAATACTTCTCTTCAACTGCCAGAAGTCAGCTAAATACCTGCAATTTAATAAACCCAAATATTACTAAAAAACATACTGCGACTGAAATCAATAAAAAATACCATAAAAACAAACATTACGCTTTTTCGCAATAGATGACCAATTTGTTTGCAGAGCTGACGAAATCGGGGTTGACTGTATGCTCTCAGGCCGTCATTGAAAATTTTCAATAACACTAGTTCAAAAGCAATTAATGACAGAACTTCCGCGGCTTGATTTGATTCTTAAAACAAGAAACCATCAAAGTAGAGTACTAAATTACTTTACGAACTACTTTACACTTATAGCCGAAAAATAATACTAACTATAAAATGAAGAAAAGTGCTGCACTGCCTTAAAATAAAGAGTTTCGATTTGGAATTGATTAAGGAACGGTATAAGGTCAGTTTCGCTAACTGCTGCAAGTGATATTTCACCCTGCAATTACTGATTAATCAGATATGTAATTTGTAATCTAAAGCGTTTTAACGATAGATTTTTCTGCCAAAATCATAGTAAAAAAAAAAGGCGTCGTGCACAACCGCAGAATTTAGAAAGGTAAACACCGTAACACAAAATCAAAGCCAGCGTGAACCTCCAAAAGCATGACTTTAAAAAACTTAAAATACATAAAGAAAAATTTCTAAAAAAAATTAAACAACTTGCCTCGTCAAGGTCTTCACTAAATATAGTCCAGGAACTATCTTCTTCTTCGAAACTAAGAATTGATTTCAAAAACGTTTCACGCCCCCTAAAAGGACTCTAACAGACAATAAAAATATGAAGTATTTTTTTTTAAATTAGACGCACAGTCAAAGATGAATGAAAAAGAACAGCGTATTACGTTAAAAACAAGCTTACAATCTTTTTTTATTCATCACAAAAGTTTGCTAAAAAGTTTTTAAATTCAAAAAGATGAGAATGCTAAGGATTCTATCATTCATTTTTCTGTAAATGTTTAAAAACATGTTTAACAATGCTAGTGGCATTGAAAACTACATAAAAACTCAACAAATGTAGGCCGCTATACAAATTCCGCTCAGTTTCCATGCTTAAAATGACAAATTCCAAAAACAACTAGATACGCTTTGGAAGCTGCTCACCTGTTTTCTAAGAGATCAAAAATTTCATACTAAGTCGTCACGATGAGAAAAAAGAAATTTAAATACAGATTCGTTAATCAAACTTCTAAGAAAGTTTTTTAAAACAATTCGAATCATATTTTTAATTCACATGAACCGCAAATCTGCATCATTATCACCCTAAATTTTTTTATTTATATTCTTCCAAAATTCTTTTTTTCCAAAAACGATTTTCTTTCTCAAAAAATTTTGATTTTCGCTTACAGTGTGTTTGAAGAGATTAAGTGGCAAAAAATAAACACCTAATTGGAGAGAGTAATATACTAAGCATTGATACGAAATTGTCAATTATAAGACGATCGGCACCATGTGACACGTTCGCATAAGTTTGGACCAGAGGAGCCGCCCAGCTAGAAACCGGAGTAGGCAACCGTAGTACTTGACACAAAATATAATGCTGATCAAAGTACGTGCATGCCTTCAGCAATACAGCGCACTGAAAGTAACACTACTGCTTTGCTCAACTTTTAGAACCAAAAAAATATCCAAACTCAAAGAGCTTCCAGAGAGAGATGGTTGGTAATAACTGCTGAATAAAATGAATGAAAACGTAAAAAAAATTATTCCAAACGATCAAGAAGAAACTGTAAGAAATAATTAACCAGCTCACTAATCCAGCCTGTCACACTCTTCACGAAACGTACTGGCAACGAAGGAAAGCGCAAAAAATAGAACAAGTCAGAAAGTGCCCCTCGTAGTCGACAACGACTTGGTAAGTCGATGTTTCCGGAAATAACTAAAGCAGAATAGCGATAAAAAGTGCAGTTTCATTTAGGTAAGAGAAGAACTTACGTTGCGGAGGACTATTTATAGCTACACCAAAATCAGTCATAAACATATTATTCAAATCAATGATTTGCCACTGGATTTGAAGAGCTAATGAACGGGCCTGAAAATACTATTTATGGTGCTGAGAAGAAACTTATAAAAAAAAATTCACTAACCTCTACTTCGCGACAAAGCAAGCCATCTAGTCTCAGTTTCACATCATTCTTCAGCAAATCTTGCAATTTACTAATAGAATTACAGTGACAAGTAGCTACCAGGTATTCAACACTCCCCGTCGCGAGCTTCTGATCACCACACTTTCCCTTCAAAATAATGCAGAAGTTCAAGAAATTTATAAGACAACTCTACTAGATCCCAAATCCCTTCTTTTCAGTTTCACTGCAGAGAAGATTACTAAAACGAATTTTCAGTAACATTAAAATTAACATATAAAATAAAATTTAAACCATGAGTTTTCAAAGTAATTTCTAATCTAACTAAGTCTAAATTGTTAACTATATAGTGCAAAATATTTTGCCGGCTAAAATTTTTTCAAATATGCAGTGATTGTAAGAAAAAAAAGTAGAAATTCAAAGTGTAAAAAATAGTAAAATATGAAAATAGTTAAAAATTTCATTCAAAAAAGACTTCATATCCCGTATTAGTTAAAAGTATTATATTTCAAATATCCTTTTCTCAAGTCATCCACACAACCATCTTCCAGTAGCAAAACTGAAATTTATCCTTCTCGATATGATGTTCCCTGGCTTATACTCAGTCTAAGAAAATGAAGAAGAAAAAGCCATATCCACTTCACTATAAAATTTCAATAGGTTCCTGGATCTTTATACCGCGTTTCATGAAAATAATCGATCTAATTCATAAAGAACTATCTTTTGAAAAAATCCAAAATCTAGCCAGATCATCTATTAATACAAAATAGAACCACTTTTTAAGTTTATATAGGACGACTAAGTTTGAGAAAATATTATCGACCGCACAGTACATTCAAAAGTTAGGAAGCAATAATTTGGAATGTCACTTGAACGACTTTATTTTCTGCTAATATTACAAAATCAGAAATAAAACAAACTGTTTGCAGATGCACCCGTTTTTCGGCAGTCCATATACCACTACAACACTTTTTTATTGCATCTTCGCATTCTTTTGTTTCGATTTCTGCTTCTGATAGCTTTTCACAAATGAATTTATATCTTTCTAAGTAGTCAAATAGCATGTTTCTCGGACAGCTGTCTTGCTGAAACAAAAAAAAAAGGTAACGAGCATTTTTAATTTTTTCTGCAGAAATGGTTACCAAATGTGACTACATGTGATAAACAAACCTCAATAAATGCATCTACAAAATCTTCGATGGTTTCGTAAAGTTCATTGTGATAGAAACTAAGCAGCTGATTTTCAGTCATAAGTGACTGACGACTCGATTCAATGTGTTCTGAGACTAGAGGATAAATTTTAGTGTAGTCAAAGCCAATGTTCGTGCTGCAACGTTAAAGTTGTAATTAAAAACGAGTACTTTGAAAACATTTTGACTAAGTTTTCTAAATCCCAAAACTGATATTCAGAGAAAATATACACCTCGGTGCTTCAAGAACAGAAGGATTATCCGTTTTTGCAATGGTCAATGACGAAACTGAGGCTGTCATATCCATTTCATCCGTACATGGATATATCCGTGACCTTAATTCAATAAGAAGTGAGAAAAAATACACATGAGAATGCCACAACGGGTGATCACCGTGCATGGTTGTGTCACTAAAGCTGAAGTCTCTCTTAGGAAAACATGGCAACATTACACTGAAGCTGTTTTGCCTTCATCCTTTTCAGCCAAGTTATCATCTGCAGTGAGCGAAGAATGCTGCTTGTTGTCCAGTGGGGGAGGAAAAAGGTCTAACTTGGGAACCGCAACAGGAATAGCTTCGTCTTTAAGACTTTCCAAACCCTCTTCATGCTCATCAAGAACATTCGGCTCTATCGCAACATCACTGCAACACAGCGAAAGTGACTGGAAAAGATTTAATGATGTTTTCAATCTTTTTGCTCACTCTATCACGAAAGAAAAGTATAAGACAACGGAAAAGCAAGTTGTTCAATTCCTTATTAGCCAGTGTTTATAAAAACTGATTGCCCAATCGAATAATAAAAATTTTATTCGCAGCTTGAAAGAAAGAAAAGCAAGTTTTAAAATAGTATATTCTCACTAATATCTAACCTACGGTCCATGACTAAATTACTGCCATCCGTTTTCTGTTCAGAATGCGAAAAACTCCCATCATTTAAAGCTTGTGTTTGTACAGCACCGTCCGCATCTTTCGAAGTCCCTGGCGTTTCGGAACACGTACTTTCTCCTACTTGCTCTTTAATTTTTCTGGAAGAAACGGGAATGTTTGAGGAAGTGGAGGAACTTGGTGAAATCAAAGAAAGATCTGGAGGTGGAGGAGGAGGTGAGAGCTCGCGAATTCTTTTTGCCTTTTTTTTACGGGGCTTCACAGCCTCCATTTTGGTCCTGAAAGTACAAGAAGTCTCTAATCAAACTTGAAATTGTTAAATGCCACACGGTCAAAACAATTTTAAATTTCTGACGCCTAATTTACCATTTAAAGAACGCCTGCAATAATATAAAACTAATACAAAGACAAAAACACAAAACCAAAAAAATTCAAGAAAAATTGAACAATTTGTATTTTCTAAAAGCAACGTTATGTGTACAGAACCAACGCACTTTAAAGTGTCGTTTCTCTATAAAACTTTGTGACAGCTCATTGATGAATACGTACTATATATTACGCTATACAAAAAGATAAGCACATACATGTACATTATATATATTCGATGGTTACACAGATTTTATCGTTTGGAAATGATAAAAACAGGATAACGCATGTACTTACTAAGAAGAATCATGATAATTCTGCTGAAGCAGACTCAG